CAACCGTCAAAAGTACATGACAGTTGCCAAGCCTGTGAATTTTGATCATGTGACCAAACCTGTGACTTTTGATCATGTGACTATGGGGATGCTGCAAAGATCGTAAGGGTGAAAAATGGCCACGAGTCACTTTTTTCCCAGTGCTGTTGTTAACTCTGAATGGTCACTAAATGAACTGCTGTAAGTCTGTTCCTAAAACTCAGTGCTCTCCCGCATAGCGTGATATTTTTTTTGATCGGTTTTTCTTTTCTTTGAATGTTTTGCATTGTTTTTGGTTGTGGGTTTGGGCTGCGGGTCCTGTTTTTCAAGGTTGACAAAAGTGCCAAGTCCTAATTGAGTTTAGACAGGCAGGTAATCCTTATGACCGCAACAGAGCCTAAAATTTCTGTTGCTATTCTATTCTATTCTATTCCTATTCCATTCTATTCCATTCCATTCGTTTTGGTTTCTGTTTGTTCCTATTCTATTCTATTCCATTCCATTCCATTCGTTTTGGTTTCTGTTTGTTCCTATTCTATTCTATTCTATTCCATTCCATTCGTTTTGGTTTCTGTTTGTTCCTATTCTATTCTATTCTATTCCATTCCATTCGTTTTGGTTTCTGTTTGTTCCTATTCTATTCTATTCTATTCCATTCCATTCCATTCGTTTTGGTTTCTGTTTGTTTCTATTCTATTCTATTCTATTCTATTCTATTCTTATTCCTATTCCATTCTATTCCATTCCATTCGTTTTGGTTTCTGTTTGTTTCTATTCTATTCTATTCTATTCTATTCATTCTTCCATCTTCTATTCCAGTGGTTCTCAACCTGTGGGTCGGGACCCCATTTGGGGTCGAACGACCATTTCACGGGGGTCGCCAAACAACGCAGTCCGCCATTTTCCCCCCCCTTTTCCTTAGCTGTGCTACTCCCTTTTATTCTATTGGCTTTTGAAAGCCAATAGAATAGACTCTCTTGAATAGAGTCTAATTCTATTGGCTTTCAAAAGCCAATAGGAATTGTCCAGGCTGTCTCTGCCCTGCTGAGCCCGCCAAAAGTCCCATTCTGCAAACGGTGCTGCACCAGTTGAGTAGTCCTCGACTTACGACCGGTTGAGTAGTCCTCGACTTACCACCGGTTGGGGGTCGCAGCATTAAAAAGGTTGAGAACCACTGTTCTATTCCATCTTTTATTCCAGGGGTGTCAAACTGCCGGCCCACAGGCCGGATGTGCCACACAGAAGCTGCGCACACCAGCAAGGGGGGAAAAGTTGTGATACGGCACATGTCACATAACATGGCAAGTTTGACACCCTTGTTTTATTCCATATTCTATTCTGTTCTGCATTCCATTCTATTCTATTCCATCTTCTATTCTATTCCATCTTCCATCTTCTACTCCAACTTTTATTCCAGGGGTGTCAAACTGCCAGCCCGCAGGCCAGATGCACCACGCAGAAGCTGCACACACCAGCAAGGGGAAAAAAGTTGTGGTACGTCACAACACATCATATGACACAGCGAGTTTGACACCCCGGTTTTATTCCATATTCTATTCTATTCTATTCTATTCTAGTCCATTCCAGCATGCCTGGCTGAGGAATTCTGGGAAATGAAGTCCACAAGTCATAAAAGGGCCAAGTTTGAAGACCCCTGATATACATAAACATAAAGCTTGGGATGCAGGGAGGGTGAACGAAGGCTTTGCATACCCGGCGTCCACCAGGGGGCAGCCAAGCCACCCATTTCATTCTTGCCCCTGGGTTTCACGGCTGGGATTCCCTGCGGAGAGGCAATTGCAGCCAGCCCTCCAAAGCCTCGCTTGCGATGCCCTCTGGTGGCCATCCGGCATAGAATCAAAAATCACGTGAAGTATCAGTACCGCTTTATAAAGCCTTAGTAAGGCCACATCTGGAATACTGCATCCAGTTTTGGTCACAGTATTACAAAAAAAGATCTTGAAACTTGGGGGAAAAGTGCAAAGAGCAATTAAGATGATTAAGGGCCCAGAGACTAAAACATATGAAGAACAGTTGCAGGATTTGGGTTTAGCCAGTCTAGAGAAAAGAAGAACCACAGAGGACATGATAGCAGTATTCCAGTATTTGAGAGGCTGCCACAAGAAGAGGGGGGTCAACTTGTTTTCCAAAGCACCAGAGGGCAGGACAAGAAACAGTGGATGGAAACTAATCAAGGAGAAACTTCCTAACAGCAAGGACAATTAACCAGGGGAACAGCTTGCCTTCAAACATTGTGGGTGCTTCATCACTTGAGATTTTTAAGAAGAGACTGGACAGTCACTTGTTTGAAATTGTATAGGATCTCCAGTTTGAGCAGAGGGCTGGACTAGAAGCCCTCAAGGTCCCTTCCAGCTTTATTCTATTCTATTCTGTTCTATTTCTATTTCTATTCTATTCTATTCTATTCTATTCTATTTCTATTCTCATGCTGACCACTTCATCAGGCAAAGGAGGAGCAGAAGAGAAGAACCAATGTCTCGTTTCCTTCCAAAATCCTGCTCTGCGCAGGACGTCAAGAAAAGCGGAGGCTTCTAAAGTTTAAGATATTTTTTAGATATTTTTTTTTTCCTTTTTCTAATTTCTTTTTTTCCTTCTTCTTGTTTCTTTTCTTTTTCTCTTTCTGTTTTTTCAAATATTGGTGTTAAAGTATTTTATAATTTGTTTAATTATTGTAACCAAATTTGTATATGGTTTATCTGTGTTTAAAAATTTTTTCTTTTAAATCTTAATTAAGCCTGTATTCAGCTCTGGGAAGGTTGGGGGAGGGTTGGGGTGGGTTTGGGGAAGGGAACTTTTTTGTAAAATTTTAAAAATTTTCAATTAAAAAAAAAAAAAAGAAAAGTGGAGGCTTCTTCTTCGTAATCAAGAAAAACAGAAGATCACTACTGATGAGAAATTCAAATCAAGCTCATCAGCCACAGGGTGGAAAAATGGATCCTCAAGGACAAAATAATTTCCAAAGCCCCAGAAGGCAAGACAAGAACCAATGAATGGAAATGAATCAAGGAGAGAAGCAATTTTAGAAGTAAGAAGAAATGTCTTAACAGTGAGAACAATTAACAGCTTGTCTTCAGAAGTTGGAGGTGCTCCATCACCGGAGGTTGTTAAGAAGAGACTGGACAGCCACTTGTCTGAAATGGTATAAGGTCTCCTGCTTGAGCAGGGAGGGGGCTGGACTAGAAGACCTCCAAGCTCCCTTCCAGCTCTGCTTTTCTAATCCTATCCTACCCTACCCTACCCTATCCCATTCTATTGTCATTCTTCTTCTTGTGCCATATCTGTTATCAGATGTTGGTGATCATGTTGACGATCCTGTTTTTATCAGCAGCCGCACGAAAAAGTGCTGCTGGATTTTGTCCAAACCAGTCCCTTAGATTTTGAAGCCACAATGTTCTTCTTCTGCCTGGACCTCATTTGCCTTCAATCTTTCCCTGGAGGGTTAAAGGAGTAGGCCGTATTTTTCTGGGTGTATCATCACCTGTCTGAAATATTCTAATTTTCATTTTTTTAATTGTTTTGACGATGTCCCTTGGCTTTCCCAGGCAGCTTATCACCTCCTAATTTCTGATTATCAACTCAGTTTATACGTAACAGCCGCCTGCAAATCCACATTTCAAATGCTTCTAGTATCTAGTCCAGGGGTAGGCAACCTTGGCTCTTTTATGACCCGTGGACTTCAACACCCAGAATTCCTGAGCCAGCTGATGGCTCAGGAATTCTGGGAGCTAAAGTCCACGAGTCATAAAAGAGCCAAGGTTGCCTATCCCTGATCTAGTCTCTTCAGGTGGCCTTCTGTCAGAGACCAACTCTACTCTGTAGAGCAGAATAGAAAAAATATAGCATCAGACATGCCTGATTTTCAGTCTTAGGCTACTATTATGTTAGTTCTATTATTAATAATAATAATTAATTAGTTAACTATTATATTATTATTAGTTCTGTTATCATGTTGACCACTTTAGAGATGAGACTGGACAGTGACTTATCTAGAATGGTAGAGGGTCTCCTGCTTGAGCAGGGAGCTGGACTAGACGACCTCTAAGGTCCCTTTCCAGCTCTGTGCTGATTCTGATGTTGCTCCCAGACTCGCATCCTTGCACGGCCCCACCCGCTCAACCATTACCAACCACCCGTCAAGGTCAGGGGTAGGCAACCTTGGCTCTCTTATGACTCGTGGACTTCAACTCCCAGAATTCCTGAGCCAGCATGGCTCAGCTTGGAAACCTCTCCCTTTCCCCTCAGCATGGCTGGCTGAGGAATTCTGGGAGTTGAAGTCCACAAATCATAAAAGACCCAAGTTTGCCTACCTCTGGCCTAGGCCTAGGCCGCTTTATGACTCGTGGACTTCAACTCCCAGAATTCCTGAGCCAACATGGCTCAGCTTGGAAATCTCTCCCTTTCCCCTGAGCGTGGCTGGCTCAGGAATTCTGGGAGTTGAAGTCCACCAGTCATAAAAGACCCAAGTTTGCCTACCTCTGGCCTAGGCCTAGGCCGCTTTATGACTCGTGGACTTCAACTCCCAGAATTCCTGAGCCAACATGGCTCAGCTTGGAAATCTCTCCCTTTCCCTTCAGCATGGCTGGCTCAGGAATTCTGGGAGTTGAAGTCCACCAGTCATAAAAGAGCCAAGGTTGCCTACCTCTGGCCTAGGCCTAGGCCGCTTTATGACTGGTGAACTTCAACTCCCAGAATTCCTGAGCCAGCCTGGCTCAGCTTGGAAACCTCTCCCTTTCCCCCTCAGCGTGGCTGGCGCAGGAATTCTGGGAGTTGAAGTCCACCAGTCATAAAAGAGCCAGGGTTGCCTACCCCTGGCCTAGGTAGTTCTCTCATTGGCCGAGCCACTCCCCTTCCCTTTTTGTCGCCCCGCCCCCCTGGATGGCTCCTCCTCCTTTTCCTGGGAAAGGCAGGCGGGGAGGTAAGCACAAAGGGAAGCCTCCGTCGCTCTTTGCCTCGCCTCCCCCACCCACTCCATATTTCCCCCTCCCTCCCTCCGCCCGCCCGCCCGCCCGCGAGGAGATCCGTGGCTCCGGTGAGTCTTTTGCACGCTCAGCTCCTTCCTCGCCTTTGCAAGATTTAAAAAAAAAAAAAAACGGGGTGCAATGATCAGCCCGATCCGACATTTCCCCTCCCGCCCCCCCCCCCGTTGTGGCCACCCACTCCTTCCTTGGGGCCCTCCCCATGCATTGCACTACAACTCCCATTGTCCCCAGAGCGCTTGCCGCAGCTTCCCACCTGTAGCTGGCTTCTCTTGCCCTCGCCCCCCCCCCACACACGCTTTTCCTTCTCTGCTGCCATTGATCTCAGCCCCACCCCACCGCCCCCCACCCCACTTTCCAGTGGGGCTCGTGTCCTTTGCTTTCGGCCGCCTCCATTTCAAAGCGCCTCCCGTTTTTTTATTTTTTCTTCCCTTCCCCCCCCCCCTCCGCCTCATTCCTCAAACCTCCCCCCACCCCGCCAGGCAAATCCTAGCCAGAGGCTTAAGTGGCTTCTTGATTTCTAATTTATTTTTTTATTTTTGGGGGAAAGGAGGAGGCGAGAGATGGGGCAGAGAGAGAGAAGCCCTTTTTAATATATATATATATGTGTGTGTGTGTGTATATATATATATATATATACACACATACATACATACATACACACTCATATATATATATATATATATATATACACACACACACACATATATACACACACACACATATATATACACACACACATATATATATACACACACATATATATATACACACACACACATATATACACACATATATATACACACACAGATATACACACACACGCATATATATATACACATATATATATATACACACACATATATATATACACACACATACACACACACACACACACACACACATATATATAGGGGGGCATCCAGCTTTGGATTCGTGGAGCTTTTGAAGGAAGATCCCTCCGTCCTTGCAAAATGATTTCCCCCCCCCTTTTTTTTTTTTTTTAGAAGGAAGGATTGAGACAATGGCATCGAATTTAGGACTGGGAGGTTTTGCAATGCAAAAATCTGCCATGTTTTTTTTTTTTAAAAAATCCCTTTCTTGCTGGGGGGGTGGGGGCGCTCAGAAAAAAAAAAAAACCAAGCACAGGCAGAGAGAATTGTGCTTCCTCCCAAAAAAAAAAAAAAAAGGCAAAACTGGGCCCCGAGCTGAAATGGTATATATAAGCAGGGGGCTGGCCTAGGACCTCCAATTGGGCAGAGGGGGAGAGAAATCCTTCCCGTTTGTCCTTCTCTCTTTCCCCCCTCTCCCCACCATTTCCAGGGTTTTCATTTTTCTTGTTCCCCCGCCCTGGATGTGGAAGAAGGGCTTAAAAAAAAAAAAAGGGTGAAACTCTTTGGGAAGAAAGCAAATGGCAAAAATTTGCAGCGGAAGATGGATGGGGAAAACCTGAAAGGCTGGGCCACCAGGGTGGGTGGGTGGGGGTATGGGTATGTGGGTATATGCATATTTTATTTATTTATTTTTACCATGTTTATGCAGTGTATATTGGAGGCGGTTACCCTCCTGAGAGCTGTATGCAACGGAATCTCATTTTCATGGGTGCCGATTGGCCTACGTCATTACGTTCAAAGTGACAATAAAGTTATTATTCTATTCCAGTGATGGCGAACCTTTTAGGGACCCGAGTGCCCAAAAACTGACCCCACTCGCTCTGCCCCACCCTGCCTGCCTGCAGGGCCACTCACCACCTCCAGGGCCCGCCGCAGATCGCCCAGACAGCCCATTGAGGCCACGTCCTCTGCCCGCACCCCGCAGCATCAACTGTGCATGATGGGGCGTGAGGGCAGAGTCTTGTCTACACTGCCTGGCTGCCATGTTCTTGGCTGCAATGCTCCGTGTGGGCCACGCTCGGGGGGGTGACTCTCCTCCAGGGGGGTTGCTGGTGAGGGGGTCACAGGAAGAGGCAAGGCTGGGGCAACGGCACGTGTGCCCACAGAGAGGGCTCCGAGTGCCGCCTCTGGCACGCGTGCCGTAGGTCCGCCGCCGCTGTTCTATTCTATTTGGCTGGAACTCTGGGTGGAAGAACGTGGAAAAGAAAGGCCATAGGGGGGAGGGAGTTGGAGACCCCGAGAGGATGCTCCTTTGGTTGCCTGCCCCGTGGTCGAAAGACTGGAACGCACCCCGGTTTGCAGGGTCTCCTGCTTGGGTGGTGGGGGGGGTTGGACTAGTTCAATGGTTCTCAACCTGTGGGTCAGGACCCCATTTGGGGTCGAACGACCATTTCACGGGGGTCGCCAAACAACACAGTCCGCCATTTTTTTCTCCTTTTCCTTAGCTGTGCTACTCCCTTTTATTCTATTGGCTTTTGAAAGCCAATAGAATAGACTTTCTTGAATAGAGTCTAATTCTATTGGCTTTCAAAAGCCAATAGGAATTGTCCAGGCTGTCTCTGCCCTGCTGAGCCCGCCAAAAGTCCCATTCTGCAAACGGCGCTGCACCAGTTGAGTAGTCCTCGACTTACGACCGGTGGAGTAGTCCTCGACTTACGACTGGTTGGGGGTCGCAGCATTAAAAAGGTTGAGAGCCACTGGACTAGATGATCTGCAAGGTCCCTTCCAGCTCTTGTTATTCTATTCTACCGGTAACATGTCCTCGCTGCTGGCCTTCTTCACTTATTCTTCCATAGTTGGTGGCAAGTTTCCAAGCTAAATAGCTGGATGTAAGCTGGCCATGTGGTCCAGGAATAATGGGAACAAGGGAAACCTGCACAGGTAGTCCTTGATTTACAGCCATCCGTTTAGTGACTTTTGAATAGATTGGAAATAGAATAGAATAGAGCTGGAAGGGACCTTGGAGGTCATCTAGTCCAGCCCCCTGCCCAAGCAGAAGAACATATACCATTTTAGACAAGCGACTGTCTAATCTCTTCTTTAAAGTCTCCAGTGATGGAGCGCCCACGGTTTCTGGTGACCAGCTCTTCCACTGGTTAATTGTCCTCACTGTCAGAAAGTTCCTCCTTAATTCCAGGTTGCTTCTCTCTTTGATCAGTTTCCAACCATCGTTTCTCGTCCTGCCCTCTTCTGCTTTGGAGAATAGTTTGACCTCCTCTTCTTTGTGGCAGCCCCTCCCATACTGGAATACTGCTATCGTGTCACCCAAGTTACAGTGGCACTGGAAAAATGTGACTTAACGCCTGTTTTTTATGCTTACGAGCGTAGGCGGCATCCGCATAATCACGTGATCAAAATTCAGACGCTTGGCAACTGACTCGTACTGATGACGGTTTAAGTGTCCCTGGCGATTCACGTGATCCCCTTCTGCGACCTTGTGACAAGCAAAGTCAATGGGGAAGCCAGATTCACTTAACCAGGATGCTAACTTAATAATAATATTATAATAATAATAATAAAGTTGGAAGGGACCTTGGAGGTCATCTAGTCCAACGCCCTGCTCAGGCAGGAAACCCTATACCATTTCAGACAAATGGCTGTCCAGTCTCTTCTTAAAAACTTCCAGTGTTGGAGCATTCACCGCTTCTGGAGGCAGGTTGTTCCACTGGTTAATTGTTCTCACTGTCAGGAAGTTTCTCCTTAGTTCTAGGTTGCTTCTCTCCTTGATTAGTTTCCATCCGTTGCTTTTTGTCCTGCCTTCAGGCACTTTGGAGAATAGCTGGGGTGATTCAGTTGACAACTGTGTCAAGCATGGTTGTAAAATGGGGGGCAAAACCGCTGTGTCGCTTAGAAATTTTGGGCTCAATTGTGGTCTTAGCAGTAGCACTTAGATTTATATATCGCTTTGCAGTGCTTTACAGCCCTCTCTAAGCAGTTTACAGAGTCGGCATCTTGCCCCCAACAATCTGGGTCTTCATTTTACTGACCCCAGAAGGATGGAATAGGTTGAAAAAAAAAAAAGGAGTGGAAGGGAGATCTGACTTGGCTAGCTATAAGTAGTCTGAGGGGATTGCACTTTTGCTATCCCCCCATACGTGGGGCAGATCCCACGAACTGACACTAAAGAAGACTCCTGACACAGAGGCTTTCTTGGGGTGGGACTGCCCCGAACCGAAGTCCGGGAACTACTTTATTGATTACAGTATGCAAATAAGCATTGATTACATGTGATACATTTGTGCCATACATATAATTTCTTGCTGCGCCATAAGCTTAAAACCACTCCCATTACTTAGTCTCAGAGCATGTCAAGAGTACATGTCATGTTTGACCTATATTGCCCACCTGGCTACACAAAACAAAACCATGTGGTTAGTGCCTTCTCGAGCTTAGTTCTGCATAACATCCTGTTTAACTGTCATGCGGTTTGCCATTTGTGTTACGAGCTAGCGAGCTTTGCCGCAGACGTTTCCTCTAGAAAGGGCAAAGAAAGGACAAGGAGGGGGCGAAGAGGGGGCTACAACTCCAACATCTCCCCTGTCTTTTTCTAATTAAAGGAAAAATCATCTTCTTCACTGCTAAGGGTTATGGCTAAAGGGTCCGGTATGTCCATGGTTGGCAGTTTCTTGTACCTAACCAGGTGTATGGTCCTTTTGAGGAAAATATATTTTTCTGCTCCTTTTTAATATTTCCTTCTGGGGGGGCTAACTTCCATCAATATCCCCACTTTGTGCCTTAAGTGTGTAAATGTATAACATTAAAATTGATCTGGTCAGAGAGACTTGGTAGGCAAGCTTTTAAACTGTTAAGCAAAAAAAGGAAAAGAAAATTAAAACATTAATGGAGGCAGCAGAAAAAGATCCCTTTAGTGGCACCCATAAAGTTCTAAAAGTCAGGACAAAATTTTGTTAGGTGGAAAAGAAATTTATAGTATCCAATATTCTGTGCCAATCATTTTCAAATGTTGGATGTCACCTTTAGCTTCCAGTCAGGTTTGCATACCTCCCAAAATTCTCCACAGCCATGGTTTTCCTTAATACATGACCACTGGCTGCCCAATTTCAAGGGTTGTTTCCTGCCTTAGCTCTTAATTCAGTGCATCCAGGTTTGTAATGTCCAATATGCCAGTCTATTAAATTTTCTTTAAATTGCACATAATG